TTTTGTTATTCTGCTTTTCATCTTTTCCTAGCATGTACAAGAGGCAGTAGTTGTACAGCTGCAGAGAAATTAAGAAAAGAGCAGGGTTTAGTGTAATCTTGAAGAAGTTCTTTGATTTCTTTTAGGAGCCATGTGGATAAATAGAAATACCAGAAACTTCAGCAGAGGTTGTTTTGGGAAAATTTGGGAAACACCAGAATTTAATTGGGGTTCTGTTCTCCTGGACAACCAATTGGTAGGAGAATGTCATAGGCAAAGTGATAGAACTCAAACACCCTGGAATCTCGTTGAAGAGCTTACTCAGATGTCTTGAGTGCTATGTGTGTGTTGGGAAAACTCACCTTTGATGTTGGAGAAGATGTAAGTTTGACAAGAAGATTTCACAGATATGTGTACTTGACAGAAAGCTCTCTGAATGCAGAACCAGAGAACAGCCTAGAGACAGAAGCAGGTTTTGATAGAAGAACAATAGATGTCTAAAGTGAAAATTGCTGAGCCAGTTGTTACTGGACAACTAAGAAAGCAGAGGTTAAGTCAAGCTGGAAGGAGGTTTTTTGACTAGACCAAAGGATATGTTGACCACAAACAAAAAAGATGTTTTTATCAAGCAGAAATAGGTCTTAGGAAAAGAAGAAAGATACCATAGGCAAACAAACAGGCTGATGTGGCAAGTAGAGAACAGGCTAAGAATTTTCCACTGCAAGAAAACAGAAAAACAACTTTAAGCTTAAACTATAACACGCTAACTCATGTGGTTGGATAATAATGACTGTAATATGGAAATGATAGTTGTGATAGGCTAGAGGTAATAGTAAAGGTATTGTGTATGATGCTGATTGGTTATTATGTATTAAGATGCTCAGCAAAGAAAAATATATAATGCATTGTAACCAGAATTAAAGCAGCTTCAGGCTTGCCTATAAGCTGTAGCTGGCAGCCGTAGGCATGGGTCTGTTACCCATGACCTGAGACTGCTGTAACATCTCTTACAGAATAAACAGCATTTTGAAGAGCTGCCTGGAGTCCCACGTCTCTCCTCTCAGGCTCTTACACTTCATGTTTTTAATGTAGACTCTTTACAGAAAAGGTGTGTTTTTCCTTAGGGTATTTTCCTGCTCTGTACAGGACCACATATAAGGTCAATGCACAGAGGTCATAATTCCTTCTGGCTGGGGATCTTTGAAATGGGTTGGGCAAAGGAAAACTCTGGGTGCTCTGACAGGCTGTTGTCATTCCTGTTTTCCTAACAGGAGATCCACATGGAGCGCTGTGTGAATCTGACTGACGTCGCTGTGGAAGCCGTCCTCACTTGTTGTCCCAAGATACACATTTTTCTGTTCCATGGATGCCCACTGATAACAGGTAGGTCTAATCACAAGAACATAATTACTTGTTAATCATACCTTCTTGCTTTCTGAAAAACACCCTGTACTCCATAAGTAATCCCAAACAAATAATAACTTACTGGATAAAATAATTGTACACTGAGATTTTCTCTGAAAAACACCCTGTACTCCATAAGTAATCCCAAACAAATAATAACTTTCTGGATAAAATAATCATTGTAAACTAAGATTTTTAAAGCAAGGTGAGAATTTTGCTTTGAAATGTGGCAGCAACCTTCAGAGAGGGGATTTTTGTTTTGTTTGTTTGAAAATTGTATTTTTTTCCCCTTCATCATGCTGATGAAGACCCAAAGACTTCAGAAAAGTATTAGCACCTTAAACCCCTACTCTATTCCAAAAGTGTAGAATAGCATCTATTCAAGAAACAGTGGAATGGAGTAGGACAGCCTGTGGGTGTTTTAACTTTTCTTGGTTGGTGATGCTTTACAGTTAGGTGATTGGAAAAAGAACCAGAGGGTTTGGATTACTACAGATGTTGAAGTGTGATATTGTGGTAGCAAAAGAAGTATAATAGCAGACATAGAATTCCTTTACTGTGTTGTATGCCTATTCCAAATACCACCTTTACATTCTGAATAAATAACAAGAAATTCCTTTGTTCTTTTGCAGATCGGTCTCGAGATGCTTTAGAGCAACTCATCATATCAAACAAAATCAAGCAACTAACATGGACTGTTTACTGATTGTTTATCCTGACATGTGAGTGTCAAGTTTACAGGTGGAGAGCTCCTTCAGCAAACAAGCACCTTGGAGAACTACCTGGTGACTTTTGTTCCACCAGGTTGCATCCCTCCTGCTTCCCACTGGAGGTCTCCATTGCCGTTCCAGTCCTTGTCCGTGAGCCTGGGCTTCCTCATAGTCTTTCCTTGGAGCCCTGTCTGCATTTCCATTGATCATATTTCATTAAGCAGAAAGTTAAACTATCTAGGGCCGCTGCTCAGGCTTCCTGAAGTGCTGGATTTGACTGCTACTTAGTATCCTTTAGCAATTTAGCCACAAACCCAGTTTTGGTAAGCGTGTGTTCTGAGTTTGTATTCTGGGGTAGTACTTAAAATTAAAAGTACCCAACTCAAATGTAATATTGACACACAGCAGTGTCTGTGAAGTTGGGAGTTGAATCTAGCAAAAGTCGACAGCCAGAACTGGTGAATGGAGGTGGCATTAACAGTGATACAAATGTACTTTCAGTAGTAACAAAGAATCTCCTTTCACCATGTACTTTGCTAGGTCTGGAATAAAAAACTTGGGTACCTTTCTTCTGATGTTACTGATGCTGCAGGTTTCTGTTCTTACTTACCATCAAATACATGCTGGATTTTTACACATCCAAATGTAGAGCCTGTGAATGTGTAAACATAAACTTGCTTTGGAATTGTTATGGTGACATTACACACTTCAGAGTAGTAGCTCTGACCAAGAACAGGATTTTATACATGGGCAAATATTTAATTTGCCCTGGCTTTTGCCTGTGTTTCTACATGAAAATCCTTTTAGGGAACAAAACACTGGTACTCATAAGCATGTCTGTGAATGAAATAGGACCAAATGTAGTGTCTGAGCACATAAATCTCAGGATGATAGAGTATGTGTTCTGCTGTATGCAGTTCATTACATATCCAGTGGTCCCCAGAAGCTGAAAATATCAATAAATTTATTATTAAATTATAGTAACATTAAAAAATTATTTTTGAACTGTAGAGTTTATTATATGATGGAGCAGTGCTCTCATCATAATTATAAGTCATGTTCCTATGATTTCTGCATTAATGTCCTTAATGCCAGCTGTTTTAGCTTTATAAGGGCATGGAGCACACTGGGTTCATCCTCTGGATCTGGAAGTAGAAGGGTTTAGCTATGGTGGTATAACATGGATTTGATGACATCTGCAAACCTAAAGAGTTTAGGTAACCATAAGGAATATGTTTACTTTACCATTTAACTCTTGTCATAGCCACACCTAAGCATTGCAGAAATAAACCAGTCTTATATTAATCTATTTAAAGTTCAGGTGTAATTGCATGGAGGGTAATTTTTGTTTCCAATGTTAAATGATATTATGATGTCTGACAATAATCTTTGTTCTTCTGTTGATTATATGGTTTATGGAAGTGCAAGACTATTTAGAAAAGGTCTTCAGGTGTCAGTAAAAGTGTATTTTTTCAAGACCTGCACCTAAATCCCTTACTCTTGTTGCATGGCTCAGCCCAGTGATGAATATTTTCCTGTGATCCCAGTGGGTGTACCTGCACCAGTGCAAACCATTGCTACAAGGAGTTGATTTTGCTGTAGTAGCCACAAGCATCTGACAGCTGTCACTGCAGCAAATCCTTGCACCAGATAGAGGCCTAATAACCTAATCCATCAGGTTGTTTGTTTGTTTGTTTGTTTTTTTCCTCTGAGGAGTAGTTTATGATTATGCCCTATGGAATCCCTGGGATCAGTCAGGGCCCATCATTCCTTTGAACTCTTGGAAAATAAATCTGTGTTACACTATTTTTGATAGTGAATCACAGAGCTGTTTAGGCAGCTCTGTGAAACAATGCTACTGCTAACCTCAGTGGCAAAGTTGTCCTTTTTCTCCTTGCTAATATAACCTTGGATTTGTCGTGTTGAAGGCAAGTGCAGCTTATACTGTGTCTTAAGTGTGCCTGTAGATTTACTAATTTCCCCTACAGCCTCTTTTCAATGTGTAACTTAGTGGTACATCCTCACGTGGTGCTTAAAAAGCTGTACAACACTGCAACGAGGTAACACTGTAATTTTAGGTTTGAAAGTTTAATGTAAGTTACTTTAAATCCTTCACCATTAGAGCTTATGTTTTTAGTATTTGCATAACTCTACTGGAATGTTTTTTGGTTCACAGTAACTTTCAACAAATGTTTACAGGCACTGGGTGAAGTGGGAGAAGAACCTCATGGATGTGCTTGCCACTTCATATTCTCTGTTGTTTGGACTTGTTAATGTTGTGAGCCTTGCAGAATATTTGCATATTGTTACGAAGATTAAAGTTTAGAAGTTGGCTGTTTGGATAGTTCTGAAAACTTGTTGGATTATAGAACCATGTACATCTGACTATGCTCCTAAACCTCCTACTTCATGAATACCATGGTACTGAGTGAATACCACACACTATTTCACATTTGTAAGCTTTCACTACTGCACAGTGGTCTGTGGTGCAGTTATTAGCTCCCCATCACTACTTGCTCAATAATTGACTGCTCAAGTTGACACTTCCTGTAAGACTGCTCTGAAAAGATTGGTTTCTTCTTCAAATGGCCACAGTTCCAGCATCTTACCTGAGGATCAGATTTTTTTTTTTACCATGTTTGGCAGATGAAGCTGGTTCTTAGTTGGCAGATAAAACTGAGAATGATCCTAGAGTTTGTCCAGCATCTCCTCAGGAGAAGAGCAAAATAATTATATCAGACTTGTATTACCTGTTTTTATTTTGTTACCCTCTGTCACAGAAGTAAAGACTTCTTGATCCCTTAGCAGCTTCCCAAGGTGACAGATTCCCTGGTTTACCCTTGCAAAGGGTAATGTAGATCATTTGACCCTACTCTCAAGGGAATGAAGTTACCCCATAGCTGGTACTATTTATTCACTTTCCATTTATTAAAGCTTTTACACGGGCTGGCAGTCAAGAAGCAGAGTTTAGATTTGGGTGCAACTCCTACATAATCACTCTGTCAGTTTCAAGGAAGAAGAAATTTTTATTACAGAGGGAAAGGGGGAGATTTAAATTAATTACTTCAACATTGAGAAGAGATACCCAGAAAAAGAGCAAGGCACTTCAAGTTGAGCATATTATGAGCTAAAAATCTAGTGGAGCATTTTATGGAGGACAGCAATAATTCTCTATATTTAGAAATTTTCTATAAATAAGCTGCAGAAGCCTGTGGAAACAGTGCAGTAGTCCTTCAGCCACAAACCTCTCCCCACAGCAGTATGCTGGACATCCAAAATATTTCACAGTAATGTCAGCAAGACACAAATACACATGGGAAACATCAAGCATGCAAACTCCTACATGTAAGTTGTCTGTAGATGTGCACCTCAGTGCAGGCCCCTTTGAATACAGTTTGCATGTAGCTTTTACATCAAATTGAGCAAAAGCCTCAGTTGAGTATGATTGAAATCAGTCCAGTGAAGGTACAGTAAGCTGCTTTACTTTAACAGATAATGTTCCCTGTTTAATTCCCATTTTCATGTTATATACCTGCAAAAAGCCAATCAAGAGAGACAAAATCCCATAGAAATCTTCAAGAATCATCTAAGCTGTTTGAGGGCTGATAACTCCAGACAATGCTTGATGTTAGCCCGTAGTTTTCTTGTCTCGTAGACTCAGGCAGTGAATATTCTATAACTTTGTGCAGCTGACTGCGAATGCTGTGGCTTAAAAACTGATGCCTGCCAGGGTCACCAATCAGCACTTCAGTCTGGTGAATCCTGATGCACTTCTGCAGCCAGTGATGCAGACCATCAGCAAGTTGTTCATCATAAAACATATCTCCTAGAACTATGAGGTCCCAGTTGCCAGCCTCTGAATTAATGATGTTCTTAATGGTGATGGGGAAGGGATTCAGGTGGTTCAGTTCACAGTTCAAGATCATTGCCATTCCTGCAACTGAAGAAAAGTCAAAGGAAAATTAAAGTTACATTTTAAGGTTCTGCCATTCAGCCCTTTTACATACTTCTGTGATGAAATCTTTCAATTTCATCTCTTAAATGTTGTTCATCGTATCTAGGGGGCTTCCACAGTTTTTATTATGAGTCAAAATCTAGCATGAAGTGATGAAATTTTGTTCTCGTTACACCATGACATAGGGAAGAAGTTTTCCTAGAATGGATACCAGAGGAAACCAATCATGGAATTGAAGTAGAATATAATAACTACCTTAATCTATGGATATACATCCTTCCTAACTAATGAGTAATTAATTTATTAATAAACTGTATTCATAAGTCAATTATGGAAAAATAAAGCCTAGAGGAAAAAGGCAAAATCTAGGCCCTGATGTACCTGAAAGTAAAGGAAAATGCTGTGGTTCTACAGAGAAGCCAACTTGCTGCTTGTGCTTGGATTTATCCAAACCAGCTGTGATGGTGTATGGGCAACACTTGACAGAAAGTTTGCTGTTTGTTTTAAGGAGCTATGGAGATATACCTGGGCCAAGAGAGGCTGGTACAACCCAGCTTCCAGTACTGGCAAAACCTATTCCTCTCTTTAGCATTCTTAGGATTCTGTTTGGAACTTTAATTTCTCCCAAATGGAGCAAAGAAAAGTCCATGTTAAAGGTACTTTAAAAATTAGTAAGTATCTTTACACAGAGATGGAAAAAAGCCTTACTAGGGTCAATGTCATTGGCAAGGACTTGGGATGCACCACTCATCACAGCAGCTATTGCTGTTGCTCCACATCCACTTCCAAGATCCAGAACTGATCGCCCTTTAACCACATGTGGATTATCTAAAATATACCTGAAAAAGAAAAGCTGTTAAAGCAGTGAACGAGATCATGCAAATGTCTCAGGTTTACAGTACACTGCATAAGAGTTTCTTGCCAAACATGTAATGAAGTGTGATGCCTTAACACTGTTCAACATGTGCATCTGCCACAAAACTCCTTATTTGTCTCAGATGATATAAAAATCAAGAACCATAATTTTTCTCCCTTATTGTCCTCCCCCACCCACAAACAAAAACAAATTCAGCCAAGTAAGCAACATTTTATGTCAATCAGCTCCTTTTCTGACAGATGAGCTTATGTGTTACATGGACACAAACTGGTAAGTAGACACTTCTAGGTAACTAGAATTCGTCAGAATGCATGAGAAATAGTGAAGTAAGGATTTGTAGAAATTAAAAGCAATCTGACTGAAAAACACCATGTGTTCACAGTGAATATAGTGCCCACCCACCAATCTGAAACACTGCTTATGCAACTGCTTGGAAGAAGAGGAATTTTTCCTCTTTCTTTTCCTGAGCCATGCAGATAGAGATGCAAATGCTTTGAGACTGCTTAGTGTTGTTCCTGAGTAGCAGTGAGAAAAAGAATAGAGCTGTGGAGAACAGAAAGGGTATCTTCATCTAATTGCTGACACCTGCCAAGAGAAATCCTGAAAAACCTTTAGGCTGGAAGTGGAGAACTGACAGAAGGCAAGTAGCAGTTATTGTTAAATACTATGGATAATATTATAACTATTGCAGAGGGTTCAAAACTTTAACAACTGCCTTGAAATTCAATTTGCTTCAAAGGGGAAAGCCCCAGGGAGAAGAGCCCTGGGTGAAATTTGAAATAAATTACTGCAAACTGCCATAATTTTACTACCACTTTTCATAAATTCTTTTGAAGTAGAAATAAGAAAGGATTCTACATTTGTGTTATCTTCTGTGACAGGGAGAGTGATGGCTGATTCTTCACACAGGGCTAGAGGTAAGCACAGCTTTTGCAGGGGGACTCCAGTGCAGATGACTGTCACAGAAATGTTAAGAGTGGTGTACATTGGGAATGGATGCATGGAAATGTCTGGGCCTGGAAGCACCAACATGAATGGCACCAAGAGGCCTAGTAAGCATGTCAAGTGCAGGACATTTGTATTGAGGCTCAGCAGCTCAGATGTTTAACAGCTTTCCCCTAAGTACAGCCCCTAGTTTACCACCAGGACCAAGGACAGGCGAGGGATCTCCACAGAAGTGCTGTGTTTCTCCTGTCTAGGAGCCCCACTGGGATTTGCCATGACTTTCCATTAGTAATTTGTGTAGGGGGTGATGTGGCCCTGATGCTGCAAATGCCTTGTTTCCAGCTGAGTGGTTACTGAGTTGCTGCTGCTGGTTGTGGTGACAGCTCAGGACAGCTGGATGCTGCTGTATCCCCTGGCACAGTAGTGTCTCTGCCCTCCTGGGTCAATGAGGAATCTTGGATTACACCAAGAGTGGCTCGAAATAGGAGATTCCTGATGCTGTGGAAATGCTAGCTGTGATAGGAGGACAGTTATGGAGGTAACTATATGTTTTTGTGCTCCCTTTTTACTCTTCCAAATTATGCAACTGATTTCTGACATTACTTAATACATCAAACCAGTGCATAAACAGTAAGATAATAAAGTAGTGAAATGCCAGATAATTATTATTGCTACCCAAATATCTGAGCATATAAATCATATGATAAGAAAATTAAGAGATCAACTAATCTATTTTATATACCCCATGTTTAGGAGCACTCTAGTTCATCTACATGACATAATCAACTCATAATTTAACAGTAAGACTCATCTTTTACCTGGTCAAAACTGCTTTCTTATTTATGCTTTCTTGCAGAAAAACAGTAACGTCCCAATTCAGATTCTTGCCTTTCATCTATGTGGGGACTCTCTGACAGCTTGTTCTCTGCTGTAAAAATTAAGATTTTTTTTTCTGCTGTTTAAATGAGAGATTTGATTTCACAAAATAAAAGAACTCTAGTTCTTCTGAATCAGGAACATTTAAAGACTTTTTGACAGCAGCCAAAATCAGAATGTGCCTTCTGATGTGACTAAAAGCCACAAAAAGTCACAGACAATAAGGCTGCTGAATCCTAGATGAGGAGAGTTATTCAGGCTAACCAATACTCCAAGTGCATGAGCATTAAACTACTTTTCTCAACAGACCAGAGGCACATCCACACTCCTGTCTGTCTCCAACAAAAAACCCATATACATTATGACAAAATAGCAATCCACTTCTTTGGAGTGACAGAATTTAACACCTCACTAGATTTTGATGGCATCTGCACAGCCCTTCCATAGATCCAAATTCAGCCCCATTGTCAGCACATGCATGGCCACTGATTATAACAAATTTCTATATAAAAGACACAAGTTATTTTACACAACAGGTGTTGGAACTTGCTGCCAGCCAGCAGAGACTGGGACACTCCAGTATAAGCAGAGAGGAGGATGGATAATGCACCCATAATAGGCAAACACACATCACTAGGAATTGCTACAAACAGGGCCAGGTCTGATATCCTGGCACACTGGACTTAACAGCTGTGGTGAATTTTGCTGCATACCTGGAGAGGGCTTGGCCTCCTGGCCAGTAAATGGCCCAGAATGGGTCCCCATAAGGCCACAGGTCAGGTTTTTCTCTCCAGAACCTGCAGCGGGGGGTGAGGAGGCGCAGCCGGATCTCTGGCGTGAGGTGCCCGCGGTTGGTGACCTCGGTGTTCTCCTCCAAAAACGCTCTCACCTCGGGGTCCAGAGACTTGCCTGGGCTCCAGTGGCAGCAGCGCTGCCAGCACAGAGAGGGGCCGCCCCTCCTGCTTCTCCACACCTTGGCAAGGGTGTTCTGCCTGCCCAAGAGGAGGAGCCACTTCCAACCACGCAAGGCCATGCTTGCCCAAGGACACCAGATTTCCTCAGGAGAGCTCGGAGCACGGCTTATCTGAAGAAAGTGATGAGGCACAAAGCTTGAAACTAACTCACTGGATGTTGTTTTTCATAGTGATGGATGACAATTCCTGAAAGGAGAAAAATGCTATGTAAGTGATGTTTCTTCAGTGACTTCAAGGCTTTGCACCACCAGGGACTTTAGGAAGGAGATTCCTGTGCTCTTGTGCCTTGCTCCTGCCCAGTCTTAAGTCTGAAAGAAGTGGTATTCAAGGAAGAAGCTATTAAGAGACCCATTCAGAAGAGGACCCTGAACTTATCCAGTGAGAAACGACCAGTTAGTGGCACAGCTGACAGAGCTAAAAAATGAATGTGCAACCTTTTAACATCTCTCTCCCTCTGCCCTGAAGATACACACACAGCAATCTACTCCCATTTAGGGTTCTTCCACTGAATCTTCAGATTTTGCAGGAATACTCTGGCATTGCAGTGGATATAGCAGTGGTTATCAGTAGGTTGTTTGAAGAGATACCAGTTTTATAATGGTGATGCATCTTTATACAAAAGCATTTTTTTAAAGGCAAGCAATTAAAGGAATTCCTCTCTCTCCCTAAAATTTATCAATCTGCCAGCTCCAAAATTGACAAAAATAGAAAAAAAACCCAAAACTGATCTTAACCAGAGTAGTCCTAATTCATTGCATTTCAGCCTGTATTTTAAAGCATTGGTTAGTCTTGTGGTGCAATAGTCTCACATGGATGCTGTCAGTTGTAGAAGAAAGCAGATCTCCATCCCTGTAGCCCACTCTGAGACACTATATAAACATGCTCCAAGCTGTCTGAAGAGAGAAACTGAACCTAACACATTTAAATAAAGTTTTTAGAGTGTGATACATTCGGACTGGATGGCCTTGTCATACCACTCAAGGTGTATAGTACACTTCACGCAGGCAGTGAAGAAGAATGAAAGATTGGTATGTCAGAATTTAGATTCATTTACGAATCAAGAGCATGGAGAGTGGAGAGCCACAGGACTGCATTGAGAGGCAAAGGAAGAGCCTCTCAGCACTTTAGCACCAAACTTTCCTCACCCGCCTTCTCTTGCAGACCCTGGGCCTTTCCTCTCCTTATCCTGTGAGTACACTCAGCAAGTTGTGGCCTGAAGGGAGAGGAAATGTTTTCCAGCCTCCCTGCTTAGATCTCCTTCACCCATCCATTAGTATTTCCATATCCTTTTTCCTTCCTCACCTTGCTCTCTAATTTCTTTTCAATAACTCAGACTTCCTTGCTTCAGGGCACAGCTTTTGAACCTCCCCTGAAACTGATGACCAGAGAAGCATTTCGGGCCTGTGCTTCCACAATAGCAAGACTGCAAGTACAAACAAGAAACTGGATTCGTTGTTTTGTAATTGTTTTCTGTCTTCTGCAGTAGTTTTCACAAACCAGCAGAATAATGCATGAAGAAAAACAACTTTTATCCCAGCCCTGACAATTTTTCACAACAAAAGAATCATGGACAACTTCAAGCTGTGTAGGTTGTCCTTACAACTAGACAAAGGGACAACAGGAAGAATATGTCAGTGAAACAGTCTTAACACTTTGTAATTAATTCAATGAGTTTTTCTTTATTTGTCTGTATCTTTAGAATAACATTCATATGTGTTTAACTGTATTTCTGTTGTGTGCTGGCCTCTGCTTTAAGTACTGGATTTAGTTTCATCACTTAAGCTGTGAACTTCACACTTTTCTTTTTGGGCTGATACTCCCACTAAATCATTGTTTAAATCATTGGCTTTAGGCTTTATGTTTCTATTACAAATAAATACACATGATCAAACATTTTGCATTTTTCTACACTGGAGAGTGCCATTCAGCAGAGTCCATGTAATTAATGAATGTAATTAGCAAATGCCTTCTTTCTTCAAGGCAGAGCTCTATAATCCTCATCTGCCTAAGGGAAGCATGATGTTAACTGCAATCAATTGGAGAGATAAATCTTGTCAGCAAATGCTGTATGCTGGCTTTTCTCCACGAATTGCTGCAAATTAGCAGGGCTGAGATCCTGTAGTGCTTATTTTGCATGGCCTGTCACACTGGTTACTCTCCTGAAATTAATCTGTACAGAAACCTGCCAAGAGCTCAGCACTCAGGATGCCAAACTGAGCTTAAATGCTTAGTGAGGGAAGACATCAGGATGGACATCCCTGTGTTTGATACTCCTGGCCCATCCATCTTACAGGGAATAAAACCAGGATGGATAAAAGAATGGATATCCCTGTGTTTGACACTCCTGGCTCATCCATCTTACAGGGAATAAAATCAGGGTGGATATCCCTGCATTTGACACTACTGGCTGCCCATCTTACTATAAATCACTGGGCAAGTAGAACTTGGACTGGAAGACAAAACCTAGCAAAACATATAAGAAAAACCTCACCCCTCCACCCCGCCAAAAAACCCCAAACCCCTAAACCAAACCCCAAATTCTATGCAATTTAAGCTTTTTTTTTTTTTTTTTTTTTTTTTTTTTTTTTTTTTTTTTTTAAAGAGCCGTCCAAAGCCCAACCACCCCGGCCCACCTTCCCTCGGGGGATGCCAGCCCTACCCACGCCCGCTCCTACGAGGGAGGCAAACGCCGCCCGCGCCGCGGGCCGAGCGGCCGGGGCCGCCGCGCCGCCCTCACCGCCCGCCCGGCAAAGCGGCCGCACGCCCTTAAAGCGGCCGCGCCGGAGCGCCCTCAGCGCCGGCCCCGCCGCCGCGGCCTCCGCTGCCGCTCGGGCCGCCTCTCGGTCCCGTCCTGCAGCGCCTGCCCCGCTCCGAGCGCGGAGCCTGCTCGGTGCCGCGGGCTTGCTCCGCTCCTAGCGCGTTCGAAAGGCTTTTCTGAAAGGCGTGCGTCAACGCGAAGCAGTCCTGTGTTTAAAAACGCTGATAAAAACCCGCGCGGGAAAGGAGCGATAACACACATCCCAGCCGAACGGCAGGGAAAATGAGGGGGATTTTTCCCCTTCGCACATCAGCTCAAGGGCGCTGTCAGTCCGGTGTGGCCCAGGGAAAGCTCTCCAGCCTGTCGGGGACAGCACAGCTACGGCAGGCAGCGCCCAGGGCCGGCTCTGCCCCTGGGGCAGCGGGACCTCGGCCCGCTCCTCGGCTCCTCCATCCGTCCCGTTCGTGTTTCTGCTGCTCGAAAGATCCCTTCGCTTCTCTCCCCACACCCTGCCCGGTGTGGGCAGCAGAGAGGGGCCTTCCCGTGTTGTTGGTGTCCCTCAGGAGGGCACAGCTCGGTGGCAGGTAGGACACACCTGCACCCGAGGGGCCTTCCCTTGCTGTTGGTGTCCCTCAGGAGGGCACAGCTCGGTGCTAGACCTACAAACGCTGGTGTTTCCTCCCAGGCCTCGAAGCGGCCACATTTTCACGTGGCAGTGACTGGGACTCCTTGGTGCAGGACAAGGAACCAAACCCACCTGCATCCCCTCCAATTCCCCAGTTTCTGAGGTTCGCAGAGATCTCCCCAAAAGGGCTCACCTCCCTCTGAGACCCCTGTGGCTCTCAACAGCTCCCACCTAGTCTCTGCTCCATCTCCAGTCCCATCTGCTGGGATTTAGAGAATACAAGCAGCTTCTAAAGGTTCTCTGCCTTCCCGGTGGGACAGTGTCTACCAAATTTCTCGCTCTGCGTTTTTGAAGGGCTCTTGTGCATTGCCCGAGGTGATGATTCTGCAGCACTTGGGGTGCCAGAGATTTAAAACAGCAATTCCTGAGCCCAAGCCAGGGTCTGCCCAAATCTCTGAGGTTACGAGGCCATCTAGTGATCTGCGAGCTTGTTACAATGAAAATGTACTCTCCAGCGTCGGAAAGCTGCTTGTAAACCAGGACCTGCGCTTTAAATGTGGGATATCCGTAGCCTTCCAAGGGAAGGTAACTCCTGCCTGCTGGGCTGTAGAGTGACCGGGACCCAGAGAAGTGTCCTCCTGCCACCACCACCATGAAGGAGCTTGGAATCCACATCCACAGACAGGGATACTTGCGTGCCTTTTACTCTTCTGAAGCAGGACCCACACTCTGTCTTTTTAGAAATGATCTCTCAAATAGTATGCACGTGGACCTTTGTGGTTTATTTGGTATGGACCAAATAAATTATTTATTTAATGTGGACATTATTTACTGGGGCCTCTTAGGGCAACTGTGATGTTTTGGCAGCTCTTGCTGGTCCTCTCCAAGAAGGTAAATATTGAAAACACTAATATCACCCAAGATTGTGAAGAAAACATGCAATATTTTGTGAAATAAAAATTGTGAATAAAACATGGGGGTTTGTGCCCTCTAGATACTTACCACCATGCTAGGAATAAAGAACTCGATGTTATCAACATTAGCTCAGGATGCCATGTAAGATATGGTGCCAGGATGCTGACAGGTGATGATACAACTCTACCTTGCACATTTTATTTTATGCCTGACATGGTTCTCAGGGAAGCTGCTACCCTTAGATCACCAGCTCCTTTGATTGACATTTTAACAAGTATCTTCTCAGATCTGGTTTTTCTGAACTTCTGATACATGGTTTTACTTAGTAGCTATGTGAACCTCTGTGAAGTCACTGCTGTCTGATACAGACCAACATCACACTTGAAAGGGTTAAAAAGGATAGAATCATAAAACCACAGAGTGGCTTGTGTTGGAAGGGACCTTAAAGATCATCTAGTTCCAGCCTCTCAAAGAAGTTGTCTGGCAACTCCCAGCTGAGAGATTTCTTAAGTGAAAAAGGAGGGGTAAAGTCTTTGCTTCCCAGTAACACTGGCAGGGATGTTAGAACCAGAAATTTTTCTCATTTAACTACAAGAAATTAGTTGTGATTGTACAAATTCCTAGCATGACATGAGAAAGCCCTGGTAGCAGTAATAGCTGCTATGCCTCTTGTGAGAGTCTAGGTGAACCTGTTAACCTTTCAGGACAAGCTTTGTGCTGATTATTTCAGCAAAGTATCAAAGCCTGTCATCCACCCATAAGAAAATGAGTTTAATTTCCAAGGGCTTTTTTCTTTAGATGGTGACATCATAAGAATTTCAGCTACAATTTCTGGTATCCTGTGCAAAGTACCAGAAGTGTGCTGGAATTTGCTCTGAGGACAAGGACGTCTTTGATCACCACACAGCATCGATTTGGTGTATCATGGAGGAGTGCAACCCTTGCAAAATGCAGCTGTAGAGTAGCACACAAGGGACTCCCGGGTGTCCAAGGGAATTAGGGGATTACTGGCTGATGCTACAACTGCCCAAGTGTCTGGGGAAATCTTGTTTGAGCCAATTAATAACAAAGAAATGGAGCTGCCCAAGGACAGAGAGGAAGGCAAGGCAGAGAGGAGCTACCTTCATGTTAGCAAGCCCACAACTCATGAGTCGTCACAGATACAAAGGTTAAACTCAAAGGAAGGCAGTGGTTCAGCAGCCAGGTGACCTCCCCAGGTCACTCTTCCAGCTGGTACAGGTGACAAGGCCAGCTGCTCCAGTTTGCTGTGGTGAAAAGACCTCAGTGGAAATTCACCAGGGGGAAAATGGATGGATTCAGGATGCTGTTGATTTGTAAAAAGCATTCCAGCAACTCAATATGAACAGTCAGGATTTGCACATCAGGCTCAATTTGTGGCTGCCCAGAGGCTGTGGAAGCAAGTCATTATCAGAATGTAGCTGGTGCAAGCAACTAAGGTAAAATTGAATGTGAGAGCTCCAGCTAGGTAAGGGAGAGGCAATTCAATTATTCTGTCATGCCTTCAGCTACAATCCCATTTTAGAATAACAGTACATCTTTTGTAGTTGAAGAATAGGCATCTTAACATAAAAACAATCACATATTACCTGTGATGTGTCTTGAAACCACTACATGTGTGTTTCATAGGATTACCTTTCCCCACTGCCTTGCCAGCTGCATTAGGTTAGCAGCAGGAAGGAGCAGCAGCTAGCAGAGATGAAAGCATCAAGTGCCTTCTAACAGTGGAGGCAAGAAGGGGAATTTGTAAGGTGCAGCTATTTTTCAGAGTGGAGGTGGGATGAAGTGAGGAGAAACTGTATTAATCTGACCCTTGTGCTGCTGTAGATTCAGGGTTGCTGGCACAGAAAATCTCTACTCTGTGAGAGCCTTGTTGCTAGGAGTGAGATATTGAAAACTATTATCTCTGAGCTCATTCTTGATTTTGTCTTTTGTTCATGTCTGTGGTTGAAGTATTCTTGGCCTTTGCTGGCTGGATTTATTCATGTGCAGTCAGACACAAGAGTACATTTTTAGCATGAATGAAGATCAGAGAGATGCACAGAGTCAGGTGGCTTGTGCTTCTCTTTGGTCCATTTTTGGATACTTGTTTTTCTATTAAAACTAGAAGGCTCATATTTTCAAACCTGTTTTTTGAAGTCTCCTTGAGCTAGTGGGACTTTTGTTCTCATATATCTCATGCAGTAATGACCCAACCCTTGGGCACCAGAGTTTCAGGTCGTAGCAATATTTTGTGATAATCAGCTGAGTAATGGTTGTGCCTGGCATCAGAGCCTTTGTTTGCAGGTTATGTAATTGTTTTAGGCATTTTTTGTGTGTGTGGCTCCTGCAAAGCCCTGAAAGATGATGGAAGCTGAGTGAATATGGGCAGCCAGGGAAAAGGTTGCTTAGGCACCATGGAGTGTCTCTGGTCTCCAGACAACAAATAGCTAAGTTTTCCTGAATGATATAAAATCATTCTTCATGACCTCATCTCTCCTGACTTCCTGGGACAGTAAAACCCATCCCATCTATCTTCCCTGTGGCTTTGTCCCACATTCTCTCCATGTGTGATACATCAAGGATGATATGCAAATCTCATCATTTCAGTGTATATATTGGTCCTTAGCTTTTCCCAGACAGGC